GTTCGCTGAACATTCGGTTCGTTTACAGCCCTATCAGTACTATAAAAAACATATTTTTTGTAATTATTTTTAAATGTATATTATACTATATTTATTATATGGTGCCACCGTTTGAAAAATTTTCTGGGTCCGTCCCTGGATACCACTGTGGTATCATAATGCAACTTATATGTGTTTGTGTATCACACTGAGGTCGTTTGTGTGGTCGATCGGAGATGTAACACAATGGTATCACAATGCATCTTATATGTGCTTGGAGTATCAAATTGTGTCTTTTGTTTAACAGAGTCAACATTTTTAGGTATCACAGTGGTATCACTGGAGGTTAGTGGCCGGAGGACGAATGTCGGAGACCGGTGGACTGGGGACGGAGAGAGAAGAGAAGAGAGAGGAGATAAGAGAGTTTTAAGATACCTAAAATGTTATTACATTAAAATTTTAATTCATAATTACAAAAATTATAAACTTTCTAATTTATCTATTGATTTGTAGTTGAAATTGGATCTCCCGATTACCACAAACTAGTCAGTTCTCCCTGAATGGATCCATATATATATATATATATATATATATATATATATATATATGAAGGATCGTGTGAGAATAAAAGTTATGGTAATAAGCATAAGAAAAGATATGAACCATTGATCACTTTTAATCTCATGTTCACCCATGAATGCGCTTTAGAAAAGAATTGAGATGGACCTCATTAGCGTTGACATTCAATTAAAATTGATTCAAAGATGAAAATCTCTTCTTATGTTTCTTACCATAACTTCCATTATCTCCTTATCTGCTTCGCCAATCTCACAACTTTTTAGGTAAAAATCTACACTTTTGATTCCCAATCTTGATTTTTGAATGACTTTGATTTTGTTTGGTTCATAATTGGTCAATGATTTTGTTTGGTTCATAATTGGTCAATGATTTTGTTGGTATTTGGTTTTATTTTGTTAATATGATAGTAAATGTAATTTTATTGTAGTGTGTACTGAATAAACGATTTAACATACATAAATTACTGATTTACCTTTATGTAAAGATAAAAATCAGTGTTTCAAATAAAACATAAAATATGTAGGACTAGTACAAGAACAAGTATATGCTTAAAATGTGTCTAAAAAATAATTTGATTAAATCTTCCTTGAATAACAACGTTTATACCTTTGGCACCGGTATAAACTGTTTATCCAAACACTCAAAAGTGTTTATTATCGGTGTCATTCCAGAATAAGCCAATAAGTTGTTTTTATAAGCAACCTAAACACACTCTTAATATTTGCTCAAAATAGAAAAAAGCAAAACATCATTCACATTGAATCTATGGGAATGATCAAGATTGGTATGGGTGTATGTACTTGTTTAGTTATATATACACAAATTGAATGATTTTTCCTTTCCATATATCAATTATGTCATCATTCTTGGAATCCAACAGATGGTCGAATGCATTCCACGATACACAACTAGTATTATGTAGGGTAAATTATATGAAAAAGTAACGTACTTTAACTTGATTATTATTTTGATAACGTATTTTCAAAACTTTCATTTTGGTATCTAAGATGTAAAGTTTTAAACATTTAAATATCCGGGTAAGAGGTTGAAGCATTAACCGGATACCATGTTGATATGACGAGTGATGAGATAAAATTGGATTGAATAGCAAATAATATTGAGTTGGATACCATATCACTCGCCACATCAGCATGATAACCGGTTATCCAGGTACTTAAATGTTCAAAACCTTACATTTTAGTATCAAAAATAAAAGTTTTAAAAATATGTTATCTAAAATAAAAATCAAGTTAAAATACATTATTTTTTCATACAATTTTCCCTATTATAAAACCAAATAATTTTTTTTTTATTTTTCGTTCATATAATTACCGTTTAATACCATTTAATTTCATAAATCTATGAAACCAAGCTTGTTTCTAAAAATGGCATCCCCGATGTGACCCACATTCACTTATTCCTTCCTACGAGCTTACAACACGCTAACCCGCTCCCTCTCTCCACCCTTAAATACCCCTTTCTCCCTTCCATCTCTTTCTGCAAATTCACACTCCCCAACCACCTCAAATCTCCGCCATGGCTGTTCCCGCTTCCGTCGTCACTCCGCCGTTGGTTGATGAATTGGATATCGTCATCCCCACCATCAGAAACCTCGATTTCCTTGAGATGTGGAGACCATTCTTCCAGCCTTACCATCTGATCATCGTTCAAGATGGAGATCCAACCAAAACCATCCGAGTACCTGAAGGATTCGATTATGAACTCTATAACCGTAACGATATCAATCGGATCCTCGGTCCTAAATCCAGTTGCATTTCCTTCAAGGATTCCGCTTGTCGATGCTTCGGATTCCTTGTCTCCAAGAAGAAATACATCTTCACCATTGACGACGACTGCTTTGTAAGCTCTCTTTCTCTCTCTCTCTCTCTCTCTCGCTCTCGCTCTCTCGCATCCCCCCAATTCTGTACCGAGTTGACTCATTGAATCCAGACTCACGAGTCGCGAGTTTTCTAGATCTCCATCAAAAAGTCAACAGTGGGATAAGACTACTGTTGCCGATGGCTATGAGAGGAAAAATAGATGCTCTAATCTCTAGACCAGATGCTTATGGTAGACTGTCACCAGATGGTGACACGTGTTGAACATCGAGGAAAGTAGGTGGAATATGTTCTAGTGTTAACCGTATGATTGTCGGTCGGTGGGACCGGTTGTAGATTTAACACTTTGAGAGTGGTGGCTATTGATGATCATTGGTCAAATAATTTTGACTTTTTGTGGTCCAAATACAGTTTACCCCAAAATTTGTTGACCAAGAATAGTAAATTAGCACCAATCAAGTTTAAATATATCAATTAGATCCCCGAAAACTAGGGGGGCTCATTACCCGATCCACCGTACAAATAACCCGACCCGACGTAACTCTACGACATGATCGAGTTATAAAATCTTTAAACCATAGTTTAACCTAACCGTAAGAATGGTGTCCAATTGGCTTGGGTTTGGCTTCAAAGGTTAAAAGTGTCTGGAGTTCCCATGTTTGAATACAAGGAGGAATTTTATTCCCGGATGGTCGTCCTATGATTAGTCGGCTCACATAACAGGTTGGATATCCAGGGTAATAAAAAATAAATAAACCATAGTTATTGTATTGTAATTGGGATAGTCATTTGAATCCAACCTGGTGAACCTATGTACTTTGGATTCAATATGATTGTAAAATTCCTGTTAGTATTTACATTAGACAATTACACATGACATACTCTGTTTCATATACATATATTTTCAATATATACTCTATGTCCTTATAACTCTTTCGTATATATGTTCAGTAAATGTGAACATATATATGCAAATTGAGAAAGGTAGTTGAATATGATGTACTTAAGATTTAAGGAGTATGGATAACAGATTTAAGAGTAGAGAAAACAACATATTCAAGGTTAGGAGAAATTTTGATGTACCAAAGTATCAACCCGACCAACTCGTATCGTACAGGTTAGGTTGGGTTGCACTTTGGTTTGGGTTGAGATTTTTCATACTGTAAATATGGGGTTGGGTTGTTAAAATGCATGCGACCCGATCAACCCAACTCGTGAGCACCTTTACAGTAAAACCCAATTTGTGGATCAGGTTCATCATGGTTAGCTTTGTTTTTGAGTTTTGATTTAAGAATGAAATAACCATCTTTTATTAATGTAACTTGTTGGAGAATATGTGAAACCAGCTAGATTAATGATTAGCAGAAAGAAGATAGATTGCATTATATATTGAGGAAAGCCGATGTGGGACTCGACCACGCCCCTTCCAACAGAGGCTAGAGAGCATAAATTTCCCCTGATTGTTGAGAGAGAGGCCGGACTTGTTCATATTGCTCAAGAGTATCGAGTCTCTAGACTGGTGAACATTAGCTTTGGTACCATGTGAGAATATGTAGAATTGCATTAGATTACTTTCCAAAAGAGCCCTTGAGGAGAGAATTAAGGTTTCATCATAATCAAGGAGAAATGCTCCAACTATAGTCAATATAAAATAGTGTTTCGGTTTCATAATATACCGAGGAGAAATGGTCCAAGTCTAGCCAATATACGAGGGTGTTTGGTTGATTTTCCATTAAGTCCTGTATGGATAAAGCTGTTTGTGTTAATTTGTTTGTATAGATCGGGACATTTTTTGTTTGACAGGGTTTTTTCATAGGTAAAATGAGCATATTTTTAATTGGGACAAACATGTTTGGAAAAAATTTGGCTACCCCTTATAAGCTTATTGAATAAGCCACTTTCGATATCATTAAGCCACTAGTCCACTACCAAACTGTCATGTATAGCTGACCAAATAAATTGTGGGTCTCATTAAGCTCATTAAGTTGCTAACAACAATCCCCAAGACTTACCAAAGGGCCTTTGGCCTAGCGGTATGTGAGTCCTTGGCCTTCTAGTAGGTCAAGGGTTCAAATCTCACCAAAGGTGAAGAGGGTGTGTGAGTTTATTTGTTTTATTTGTCGTATATAAATATTATATACTTAAAAAAAAAAAATCCCCAAGACATAGGGCCCGTTTGGTTTAACGGAATGTTTTTGAAGGATTTGGATTCGGGGGAAATTTTGAACACGAAAGGATTTGGAATATTTGTTATGTTTGATTCGAAGGAATTGGAATCGAATTCACCTTTTTGATAATTTATAACAACAAATTATAAATAGTTACAAAAATAATTAAATTACCTTTTATTAATTGATTATTACAAAACGAATGTTCTTAAGATATTTTAAAACATTATTACAAATAAATCTTATGAAATCCCGTGAAATACCAACTACCCACATGGAATTTCTAAATCCAATGTTTGTGGGATTTTAATTCCGCACTTCCCTTTAAGCCAGACGCGGGATTAGAATGGAATTCAATTGCATATCCCGCAAACCAAATGGCCACACAATTTTTAAGTGCGTGAATATTGAATTTTATTGGATTTTAATGAAGGTTGCTAAGGATCCAAGTGGGCAAGAGATCAATGCATTGGCACAACACATCCACAACTTGTTGACACCATCAACACCCTTCTTCTTCAACACATTGTATGATCCATATAGGGAAGGTGCTGACTTTGTGAGGGGTTATCCCTTCAGTTTAAGGGAAGGTGCCACCACAGCCATCTCTCATGGCCTTTGGCTCAACATCCCCGATTATGACGCCCCTACTCAGCTCGTCAAGCCTCGTGAGCGCAACACCAGGTTCACTTCTACACTTGAACAAATCTAAAACCTATGTTCAGTTCGAGTCTCCTCAGGGCCGCTGCGGATTCTGCTCGCTGTTATTTTCAATTCCCCGTGGAATTTTAGGGCGTGTTTGGTTGGTTTTCCATCAAGTCTTTTAACGGATAGAACTGTCTGTGTAGATCAGAAAGGTTTTTGTTTAGGATGGTTTTTCGGTAGGTAGAGGGGTTTTTAATACGGAGGGACATGTTTGAATTTTTTTTTGGCTTTCTACATAAAGCTCCCCTCTAAAAGCTTAGTGAATAAGCCACTTTTTATATTATTAAACCACTACCAAAAAGTCATACATAGCTAACCGAATAAGCTCACGGTCCCATTAAGCTCATTAAGCTGCTAACAAACAAGCCCTTAGTTAACCACAACGGTTGTGGCATAGTGGTTGAGGTCCTAAGGGGATGTGGTGGAGTATCCTATCTGCTGAAGGTTTGATTCCAAGCGTACACAACAATTGTGGCCACTGAGTTTATTAAGATTGATTAGATTTCTTGCGGTCACAATGTTGGGATTAGTCCAAGCATAGCCTGGGACGCCCTCCAAAAAAAAGGCCTTAGTTGAGGAATGTAGGAGCTGACCCAAACACCGATTACAGAAAAATATACTAATAACTTAAATGCTCCAATTTTTTGAAGTATATAATATTTATATACACCAAATATTCATACACGCTCCTCATCTTTTCTCGGGTTTTGGACCTTTGACCTCTTGGAAGCTTTGGGACTTGGGTCCACGTGTATCCTGAATACTAAAATGCTCCAAATTTGCAGGTATGTGGATGCTGTCTTGACTATCCCAAAAGGGACGCTTTTCCCTATGTGCGGGATGAACCTTGGCTTCCACAGGGAGCTTATTGGACCAGCCATGTATTTTGGGCTCATGGGAGACGGTCAGCCTATTGGTCGATATGATGACATGTGGGCTGGTTGGTGCACTAAGGTATGTGATCACATTGCATTTTGAAACGTTACGTTTGTGGATATGTTGGTTGTTTAGAAACAAGGTGACTCCCTTTCCCTTAGTTGAAAGCAATAAGTTGATCCAAAAAGACGTTTTTGAATCAAATAAAACAGAAATTATTGGTCAAGGGTTTCTAGGATAGGAGGTCACAAATTCCTCGGCTTGAATTTTTGACGTTCTTGCGAAACACATTTGTTGTGTGAATTGTGATTGTAAGACATCTGTCACTAAAGGGTCATCGGCCCAACGGTACCTGGGTTACCGGTAAACCTTAGCTTTCCATGAGGTCATGGGTTCAGATCTCAAAAACGTAAGGAGTGTATGTGAGTATTTGTCGTATATAAATATTATGTACTTCAAAAGAACTTTTTATAGTTGTTTTAAGGGTGTACTCGGTACGTAAATGAGATGACGGGCAAGAATGATGTGGACAGGTGAAAGAATTGTAGAAGGTTTTAGGTTTTCAATTTGACATGAGTGTTGTAGTAATTTATCTATCTTGTCTCATCCCCCTAATTTTTTGTTCACCTATTTTGGGCAATCCTGTCATGTCCCAGTCTAATGTCGTCAAGTCAGGGACTTCCTGAGGTCGTGCGGGTGGGTCGCATGCCCAGGGCCCACAAGAAAGGTGGGACCAATTTCTTTTAGTATACATCAGTAGGGATGCTTGGAAAAACGATTTTATATGAATTATTAGTATTTTTTGAATTCAATGTTATTTCTGATGATAAAAACAATACATTGAAGATCTTTTCCGTACTTATCGAGAGCCCTTTTTTACATCTCGCTCAAGGCCTTAAAATGTCAGGAACAGATCTGGCCCAAATGCGGTAACAAGAAGTTTTTGTTCTGTCTAGTCCACATACCGGTATCTTGACCAAAATTTGGTGAATTTGTAGGTGATATGTGACCATTTGGGGCTAGGGGTGAAAACAGGGCTACCATACATTTGGCACAGCAAAGCAAGCAACCCATTTGTCAATTTAAAGAAAGAGTACAAAGGCATCTACTGGCAAGAAGATATAATTCCATTCTTTCAATCTGTCGTTCTCCCGAAAGAATGCACGACTCCACAGAAATGCTACATCGAGCTCTCGAAGCTCGTGAAACAGAAGCTCGGCCCAATCGATCCTTACTTCGAGAAGCTTGGTGATGCCATGGTCACTTGGATCGATGCTTGGGATGAGCTTAACCCGTCAGCCGATGCTGCACCGGCCGTCAAGATCGAGTCAGCTCCTAAAGCCAAGTAGAAACGCACACGGGGTGGTGTTTGTTCGACTTAGCTCGCTACTTTTATGTTTTATCTCGTTGAAATAACGTTTCTTTTGGGACTTTCCGTTGTTGCCGGCTTTGATTAGTATCTTCAGTATATTGCAGAGTTATAACTTATATTTCTAGCCATGGATCTGTGATTTTATTGGTATCTGATACTTTTTTCAGCTCAATAACTTTCATCTGACCTGTCTAATTTAGAGGTGGCCAAAATTCGGTCCCGGGCCGGGCCTTAACCGGTCCCTACCGGGCCTAATCGCGACAAAAACCGGCGGTAACCGGTCCCGACATAACCGGTCCCGGTCCCGGTCCCGGTCCCGGTGATTTTCCTTGTAACCGGTCAAGGTTATTAGTAACCGGTTATCCCAACCGGTCCCGGTCCCGGTCCCATAACCGGTCCCGATCGGGCCTATTCAAAAAAAAAAATTTGATTTTTTTTTTAAATTTTTGGTTATTAATAAAATTTTAATATGTTATTAATATGTTTGTAATATGATATTTTGAATATGTTTTATTATAAATACATTTTACTATAAATACGTTTTGTTATATATATATAATATATATATACACGTTTATAAATACGTTTTGTTATATATATATACGTTTATAAAGACGTTTTGTAATATATATATATATATATACGTTTATAAATACGTTTTGTTGTAAATACGTTTAAAAATACACAATAAAAATACGGTTTATTATATATATATGTTTCGTTGACTTTCGTTGACCGGGCCGGGCCGGGCCGGGCCTATAACCGGTTACATAACCGGTCCCGGTCTTAACCGGTCCCGGTCCCAAAAAACGTCAAAAACCCTAACCRGWTCATAACCGGCGGTCCCTCAACCGGTCCCTACCGGTCCCGGTCGGTCCCGGTCCCTCTCCGGTCCCGGTCCCGGTCCTCCGTCGGTTACGGGCCGGGCCGAGCCCATTTGGCCATCTCTAGTCTAATTCGAAACAGTTTATTTTGGATTCCAAACAATTGCATAAAGTACCACGAAAATTGATGCTAAAAGAATGCAATAAACATACAAAATCGAAAACCGAACCAAATTAGTCAGTATATCCCAACAGAAAGTGGGATCCGGAGGTAGAATGTACGCAAATCTGATTGCTAGTAACGACTCTATACAACATGAGAATTGATGCTATGCAATGAACTTACAAAGTCTAAACCAATCCAAACGAGCCCCGTATATTGCACTAGAAAGTGGAATCTGGAGGTGTAATGTACGCAGATCTAACCTCTCATAACGACTGGATATACAATAACATGAAAATTGATGCTAAAAGAATTCAATACACTTACAAAATTTAAACCAAACCAAAGAAGCTCAGTATATCCCACGACAGAAACTGAGATCTAATCTGGTGGTAAAATATACGCAGATCTGACATCTATGAAAAACTGTTTATAAAATAAAATCTAGGGCAAAATGCACAAAATAACAACCTATTTCATAAATTCCTTATAGCATTGTACTTTTTTATTATTATTATTATACTAATGTACTTTTAAATTATTTTTTATTAATACATTGTACTTTGAAAATTTACCTATGATAACATTGGATAACTTTTTTGATTTAAATTTACCTATTATATCAGGTTTCCATGTCTCACTTTACTATCCACGTAGGTTGTTCACATGTACTATAGCTGATGTGACATTTCTTATTACAACATTATACTTTCAAAATTATTTTATCATTACATCTACCAGTTCTTATTACAGTATTGTACTTTTAATTTTAATATTTTATTATTTAGACATTTTACATATTATTTAGTAAATATATTAAATGAATTAGAAAATTTCTAAATTATTCATTAATATACCAATATTTATAAAACTGGTAGAACACAATTTATGTCACTAACATTTTTAAAAAGGAAAATTAACTTAAATGACCATATTCCACAACCAAATTAAGCTCTTAACCATTTCTCTCCGGATTTTATTCAAAACTCACCCTAAACTAAGGCTGTGCAAAAACCGAGAAAACCCGAAATACCTAATTAACCCGCCCGAAGAAACCCGAAACCGAAACCGAAAAACTGGCCCGAGTTAACCCGATGTCCGAATCCGAATATTACCTCGGGTATGGCGGATCGAGTAGGATCCCACGATCCACCCCCCGAACCCGCCCGAAACCCGAACTAGTTAGGGACTTAAAATTGGTCCTTTATTAGGTTATTAGTCCAGTAGTTAACAACCCTAAGTGAGACCCGTCTTGACTTCAATTATTAGTCCAGTTGTTAACAGTCCTAAGTGGGACCCGTCTTGATTGCCTCTTGCGACTCGTCGATCCCCTTACCCGAACTACAAAGTACAAACCGTCGGTCACTGCCGTCCGACGAAGACTGATATTCATCTTCTAGTAGATGCCACCTTCAATGCATCATTTCGTATGTTAGTGGATGATGAAATTTTATTGTAAAATGTTTAATTTGTGTGTGATACAAATATTGATCAATATTAGCAACTTATAGGCTATTAAACTGTTTGGAAATTAGCTTGAGGCATGAAAACCCATCATCCACTTATTGGTTTTATATGCAATCATCTGATAAGATCATATGCAATCACGTAATTAACGTGGACATTAATGAAGTTTCTATTTTGCATTTTCTAAGTGTTCTACAAAGCATTGAACAGTATACTTCGGGTTATGGCTTTGTACCCCGAAACCCGATCGGCTTATTCATTTTTGGGTATGATCCGACCCGACCCGACCAATGCACAGCTCTACCCTAAACGACAAAAAAATCAACGTTTTTTGACCCAAAACTCATTTTCAATGAAAACCCCAAGGTGGACACTTATGGATATGGCATTACTGGTTCTAGGAAAATGGATTTTGGGCCATAATAATTATGGACCTGTGGTTACAGACCTGTCTAAAAAAACTCTAGAATTTTGTCATTTAGTGGACCCACAATAATTGCGTACCTAGTGACTTTTGATTAAAGTCCAAAAAGAAATGATTAGGAGATCAATTGAAAAAATTAATGTTATAAATCATAGCAATTGAAAATGAAAATTATTAAAAATAATTTGAAATAAGTTTTTTTTTTTTTCATTTTAACCGTTTCATCATAATGATGTGTCATTCAAATCATTTTATTGAAGCCAACCAAGCAAAAAAAGAAGTAAAACAGTTGACCGGTTTAAAAAGTAACAGATTATCCATTGTTCTAACAAGTATATTTTTTAAAATACAATTTTTTAACAAAAAAATAATTTAAAAATACATTACTCTAATAAAAAAAAATTAAAATAAAATATAATAATAAGAAAATTTATAAACATAGATCGACATTTCACACATTTAACCCTAAAATCTATGGATTCAAAATGGAGAAGTTTCATGTAGGAACTAGAAATTGTTCATCTTCACCTCTACACTTGAATGCAACAATACCAAGTGCAAACATCACCATAATTACACCAATCCATGTCATGCTAATCATCCATCTTGAAACAGAACCACCACCGCCGCCGCCGTGTTTCACCGTCACAGGCACCGGTGAACTCATACAGGAACGGCCGGAAAGTTGATTATAGTTTTCATCATCGTTTTCAGAACCCTTATAAGAAAACTCTGTACTCACTTCATGCTCTCCGGCGACATCCAAACAACCACCGTCATCGGAACCCATCTCCGATTCTTCAAAAAGTCGTCTTCCCCTTAACCTGCCGTTGTCAAAATCAACCACTCGATCGTTGATTACTTCAATTGCTGCTCGATCGATGGTGCATCCGTTGTCCAAATCGCAGATTTGATCTTCCAATGGCGAAAATTCGTGCTGTAATAGTGACATGAGTTCTTTCGGAGAGTTGTCCTGCAGTTGAAAGAGACGATTGTCGACGGCGGCGGAATTCCGGCGATCAGATCTGGAAATGGATTGTTTGATGGAATCCCATTCCATTTCTAGGGTTTTTAACTGTGCTTGAAGTGGGTCTTGTTGTTGATCATCATATTTCATGGCGGTGGGATTTGATTTATTCAAGCTTGATGTGGGGTTTGAGATCAACTTTTTGTAAAGCCTGTTTTGATGGAGATTCTTGCGGGATGAACGACTTCGATTTGAATTTTCGTTAATTTGATTTGAATTTTGATTTCTACTGAAATTCGAATTATGCTTTTTGGGTTTTCCCTAAATGGGCTTTTTCAAGAACAATTCTTTTTGGATTGTTTTCGACAAAATTAATAAGCCCCTTCAGTAACATCTCACATTACATATAACACATAATTCATTCAAAGAAATACATGTTTTACACCACTTATGTTTCATAATACGAGAAACTAAAATACAAAGTACATAATCCAAAATTTTCAAAATACAAGTTCTTGTATTATATAACTTCAAAACTAAACACATCCATGAGTTGATCTTCTTATAGTTATACACACAGAGAAACAAAAAATGTTTATTTGTAGGGTTATTCAAAATAAATTTTTTATTGCTACATAAATTCAATTTGTGAAATGGGTAATTTAGTTTCATTCATATTTTGGGTAACGTATTTTTAAAAATTTCATTTTAATATCTAAGATGTAAAGTTTTAAACATTTAAGTACTCGGGTAATCGGTTGAAGTCTAATTAATTATAGATTTGAAAAAAGACTAATTTTAGATTAAAAAAATTATGTTACTAATTACGTCAGCAAATAATACTGAGTGATAGCACATCACTCGTCACATCAACATGATAATCGGTTAATGTCCCAGGTACTTAAATGTTTAAAACTTTACATCCTATATACCGAAATTGAAGTTTTAAAAGTACGTTACCTAAAATATTAATTAAGTTAAAATACGTTACTTTTTAGTATAATTTGTCCTTTGTTAAGATGAGGATTTTTGTTCCATCAAATTATTTAATATGCTGATTTTGGAGATTTTGGTCCAACTAGTTTTTCAAAAATGAAGAAAGTAAGAGAAGGAGGTTGAAATTCTTGAAATTTGGAGACTCACCAAAAATAATTATTTAGGAAAAGAGAGATTAATTTTTATTCTTATTATTAATGATAAAATATCCCAAATAAAATAACTACGTGTACCGTCATTGTGGTTTCATTTATGTTGTAGATTGAGTCCCTAATTTTAACTCTACTCACCAGAAATAATTCATTAGCTTTGGACTATTTTTAAATCCCAAATGAGTCCATATCAAAGAGGTTGTATTTAATGCCAAGCAATTGAGATAGCCCGTTTCAGTCAGAAGAGAAGTAGATGAGATAAACCCACGTTGACAAATTACGTTTTTCTGACTCGATGAACCCGGTTTCATATTCTCGACGAGTTCACTCAAAAGCTTCAATTGCGCTCAGGATTGACTTGAGTTCGATTTGTGTTTGATGGAAGGGATCTACAAAAGATAGTAAAAGTTGAATATGAGTTCGGATGTGAGTTTGATCTAGGTTTGGTAGAGGGGGTTTGGGTTCGATTTGGGTTCAATGGAGGGGATCTTAGTTCGATTTTGGTTCGATGGTGGTCAAAGAAAAACATGAATATAGTGGCAAGGGAGTTGATCTACAGAAGATGGCTTGAAAGTGGGGTGGGGGAAGGCGAGGGAAAGGGCAGTGATGTGCTGGGAGGAGGGAGTCTGTGAGGAGGTTAGATGGTAAAAAATGACCCAACCTGTTAACTCGTTTCGAACCCAATCCAAAATTAACAGATTGGATTGAAAATTTCAACCCATTTAAATAAATGGGTCAACCTTTCTAACCCATTTAAATAAATAGGTTAAGTTGAATTTTGTTACCTGTTTTCAACTCATTTAAAATATTATATAATTTTATTTTATTCTTAATATTATATATAGTATTCTAATTTTTAATTTTGTTTTATTCTTAATTAAAAATCCTACTATCGTGAGATAAAACTCCAAATTCCAATCGTCTCTATTACTCTTAATCATCATGAGACCTAAGAAAACCCTTTAGTCCATTATCGCCTCCAAAGTCCAATCCAACTTATTTTGAACAATTTTTTTGTTGTGGTTGTGTTTTATTCAAACTTTGAATTATTTGTTTGTATTTGTGGTTGTGTTTTATTCAAAAAATAAATAAATAGTCTAGTCCATTTTTATTTAAAATTTTAAAATTAAATTAGTCAACCTAGGTTCAATCCATTTATTTAATATGTTGGGTTAAGAAAATCGTAAACAGGTCAACCCGTTGTCAACCCATTTAAGTAACATATTGGGTTGGGTTGAAAAATTTCAACCCATTTAATTAAATGAGTTGGGTTAAGTTGAGATCTTCAACCTATTTAATAAATGAATTGAACCCGAATCCAACCCAACCTGACCCATTGTCATCCCTAGATAGGATAGGGATCAACCGGTTACATAAGTATTTAAATAATTTAAAACTTTACATCTTAAGTACTAAAATAAAAATTTTAAAAATACATTATTCAAAATAAAAATCAAGTTAAAATACGTTATTTTTTTATTTAAATGTATTTTGTCATTTTATGTATACAAACAACATCTTTATTGATTTCATTTGAAAACGAAACATGGAACCCCTTGATTCTAAAATAGAAACGAGCCTTCATTTTTTTCCAACAATTTGTTATTTATTCATTTTTTAAGGTCTCCGAGACACAAAGACCACCGCGGTACTAAAGCAGCACAATCCGGAATGGCGTCGCCGTCGCCATCGCCATCGCCGTCGCGGCCGTGCGGAGTTGCAGCAACTATTGATTTCATCGGCGAAGACCTCCTTCAAAACATAGTCGCCAGACTGCCGGCCTTTTCATTCGCCTCCGCCGCTTGCGTTAGCCGCTCTTGGAACCTCGTTTGCGATCGCGTCCTTTGTCGCCCCAAACTCTCCTCCGCTTGTTCCTTCAATTTTTCTCTCCATGTAAGCCTTAATTTTTGTACCAATTGTAAATTATATTCGGAACCCTGCCATTCGACGGTTTTCATTTATATCTCCCAATTATCGTTAGGTTGCTGTAGAAGAAGTGTTTAACAAAGCACTATCGGAGCCAATTCGGCCTCATTTTGCCATTGCTTCTATCGGTCCTTCGTTCGATTTGCAGCAGGCTCATCAACTCGTATGTTATTTATTCTTTTTTGGTGGCATCCACTCTTTGACATTGACATTTTCCTATTTCAAAGTTGATATGCAATTCCAAAATCTACATGAAATTTTTTACTGTATCAAACTTTATAAACATGAATAAGGGGCTGTTTGGTTGGTTTCCCGTTTAAGTCTGTCTGTGTGGATTAATATGTTTGTCTAGGTCGATAAAGTTTTTGTTTGGGAGGGTTTTTTCCTAGATGGAAGGAGCTTGTTTTAATTGGAGGGAAAGAAACTTGGCTTTCTACATGAAGTTCTCCCTAGAAGCTTCCTGAATAAGCCACTTTCTATACCATTAAGCCACTATCAAACAATCATGTATAGCTGACCAAATAAGTTGCAAGTCCTGTTAAGCTCATTAAGCTGCTAACAAACAGGCCCTAAGACGTGTGATGTTATTGTGCAATAATATCCATATCATGTACTAATCTGACATCAAAAATCAAAATAAGGATTTTCTTCCTTTCCTCGAAAATTTGATTGATTTCATGAATGACTTTCAGATTACAGCAAAACTAGGCTCCAAAGTTCCAGTGATTACTAATGTTCCCTCTGGAATTATTGGAAGGGATGCCATTTCCGACGAATTCAAAGAGGTTTACTCTTTCATCTACTTAAAAAGTTCTATCTTTACTGAGTAAGATTGGTTAAAAGATTCTATCTTTACTGAGTAAGATTAGTTGCTAAGTTACTAGTTGTCATTCATTGTCGTTAAGAAACTAAAATGAATGAAATAATCAACAGATTCAGTGGGAAATTACTGAGGAGGATGATGATCCGGGTGTTCCTCTACTTCAACCTGAGAGTGCAAATAGAGCAATCATGTTGATTGTTGGATTTCTACCTGGGATGAAAGTCGAAGCAATCCCACTTCTAAAGCAAATTGCGGTAAGAATCTCCCTTTGTTGAACAAATTGGAGATTTTTTTTCTGTCCAGTCATGTTGGAGAGAAGGGGAGGGGGTGGAATGAAGGTAAGGGGCGGACCCATTATGGTGCATATGGTGGCACGAGCCACAACTTCGTTTCTCCGATGTAAGTGTCAAAAAATTTAGGGTCGTGAAAGGTGTCATTGTACTCCGTACTATTTTGTTGGGTTCAACCGTATATTTTCTTAAACTACAATAATAACACAAGTTTTTCTTGGTAGAGTTGGTTTGCACGGTTTTTCTCCCCTTGCAGGCACGGGTTCAAATCCCATTTTGTATCATTTTCTTAGTTTTTAGCTTTATTATGTTTCTGAATTTTTTTGGGATAAAGACTTGACCACAGGACTCCACGTACAAAAAGCAAGCAACTAACCAACATACCAATTATGATTTTATATCTGGGCACTTTCCAGACGACTGAAAATATCTCTAGCTTCTTTTTTGTAGTCAAATGGTGTCACCACTTGAAAAAGTTTCTAGGTCCGCCTGCGATGAAGGTGGTTAACACTTGTAGAATATTGTGCTAACTTTACTTATATGCCTGTGGTTGTATTCGTATTTGTGTGTGTGTATATTATATATATATATACATCTGTGTGCTTCCAAAATTAATGGGAGTATACATACATGTATCAGGAACCACAAGTTGTCATGATTGACAGATTTATGATGGACATTAGGGAGTACTCAACTTCTATTTCTGGATGTAGATCCCCTGCTGCCATAATAATGTTTAGTGTAAGTTATTTACTCATGGTATTTGTGTATAGTTTATTAGGGCCGGTTCAAATAAAAGGGCCAAATATCGTGAGAAGGTAAGAAAGGAAGGTTCATATGTGAATCATTGAAAAGTTCCATTTGAAGATGCATATGTGAACCCATATGAATAAGATGTAACGTCGGTTCACATATGCATCTTCAAATATATTTTTTCTATGGTTCACATATTAACATTCCTTTCTTATCTTCTCACAATATTTAACCTTCTTATTTGAACCTCTTACAGTCTTACTAAACTATTAGTAAATAATTTTTTCATGATATGATATTCTTGTTTCAATTCTGATATGCACCGGAATTTATTAACAGACCTTCGAAGCAGGCATGAAATCTACTGTAGAAAAGATGGGTGAGTGTTGCATCGGAAACACATTATATTGTGCAGCCACACACACACACATACATACATATATATATATATATATAGTTACGTTTATTGCTTTTCATTGGTGTAGATTATGGTATGTCACGGGATACTGTCATTGTCGGGGATACTGCTTGCCAGTTCCTCTTTAGTAATGAAAGTTCAAGGAACACAACCACCATGGAAGAACACAGTTCTTCAGCAGTTGCCTTGGTATTTGCAGTGGACAAGAACAAGCCTCGTGGTAACTTCAAAATTACACTTTTACAGATATATCTTTTTTCAATATCTTCCTGCTCTATCATGTTCTTATTTTTTTTGGTTATCTTTCTTTATTGACGAATGATTACGTGTCATGGGCGGACCCATTATGGTGCGTGCACAGGCAATCGCTTCGTTCTTCCGTCGTAGTGTAAAATTTTTAGGGTCGTGAAGGTGGCACCATATTATTTTGTTGGATGCAACTGTATATTCTTTGAAACTACAATAATAACACAAGTTTCTTCTGGTAGAGCTGGTTTGCAAGGCTTTTTCTCCCAATCCCTGCACGGGTTTAAATCCTATTTATATAATTTTCTTAATTTTTAGCTTAATTTCATATTTATTATGTTTCTGAAAAATTGGGATGAAAGACTGGAACATATGACCTAACATACAAAAAGCAAGAAACTAACAAACACACCAATTATGATTTTGAAAAAAAGTATCCGTAGCTTTGTTTTTTATAGTCAATTAGTTCCACCACTTGAATTTTTTAAGGTCTGCCTATGATGATATGTGAAATACTTCTGGATAAAGTAGTGGGTTCTATATATTATGTAAGTCTGTCAGACTAGCTGCAGTTTTTTAGTTTACGAAGGATGCTTTTGAGTGTACAAAAAGTTGTCCCACGTTTGGCGAGACATTAGACAGGGACAAGACAGGACCTCAGTGGGACAAAACTGTCGTTTTTTCTATCCCACCAAAATAGGTGGAACAAAAATCACGAAAATCAGGGAGATGGGACAAGATTAGTAAATTACTGAACTATCCATCTCAAATTAAGACCCTAATACCTTTCACAATTTGTTCATCCGCCTACCTCAACTCTCGTCTGTTTAGTCACATTCGCATACCAAACGCACCCTAAAAAGACATGCTCACTTTTTCAAAGAAAGTAATAAGTTGATTTTTGTACTTTTTATAAAAATTTCATAGCTTTCTGAGTCTCTTCACTTCCTTGACTACTATTCATTAGCTTGGTCACTCAAATCTGTTTACTCTTTCTAATCATATATTTATCTATTGATTCTTGCCAGTTATGAAATTTTATTTATGTTCTTTGCACAGGTACGGGAGAAACTCAATTTAAAGCTGTATTATCAACCGGGTTGTCACCCGTAGGCCCGACGTACAAGGCGGCATCCGTCAGAGAGAAACATCGTGATTCTTTGACTTGGATCACTGCAAGAAGAGAAGGGTTACGTGAGAATATCGATGGTGAAACTATTATGAATCAAGTTTATGACGAAGTATGCTATTCTTTACCTTTACTTGATATGTCGGCTATTTCATTATAGTTAATGCATTACTTCGGTGAATATCAAGACCTTTAGGGGCGTTTGGTTCGCAAGATTCTGATGGAATCTGAAGGAATTGGAATGGTCAATTCCGCCGTTTGGTTTACATAGGGAATGAAATTGAATTCCGCACGATCCACCGTTCATGGATTTAGTCCTTCCATCACTAGGGAGAAGGACTTGAATTACATTCCATCCCATTTTCTTAAGAAAGAAAAACTGTCCCATATTATATAATATACATATATTATATATAACATACTATAGGGTTGGGTTCCGGTGAGAATGGAAATTATGGTGAGAAGGGTAAGAAGGGATCTCCACCCTTGGATCAATCCTAATTGAAGATCAACAGTAATGAGATGCACAAATCAATTCCTGTGAGAAGCGCAATTCATGGGATGGGGTGAGATTAAAGGTGATCAAGGGTCCAGATTCCTTTTTATGCTTCTCACTTTTTAACTCCTATTTTTTCAATTTCTCACATGATCCTTCGTCATATTGTGATCTTTCATCATATACCATATATGTCTATATGTATATAATATATCTGTACTTTACTCTTGATTTAGTAAAATGTAATTTACATATTTTTCACATTAACTATTAATTTTATTATCATTTAAAAAAATTTAGAGAAAAAATATATAGAAAACTCGAAGGGTATTTTGGTAATTTTTTATTATTTCATTTCAATTCATATAGCTAAATTTTGAAAACCAAACAAACAAATTCAAATTCATTTGACAAATTATATTCCTTTTCGTGTCAACCAAAGACTTGGTCAAACCTGTTAACATTCCATTTCAATTCCTATGACAAATTACATTACTTTAGAAAGCATTATGTGAACCAAACGCCCCCGCATATATTACATTATTTGGCATTCTATTGTCTCCAAAGTAATATGAATGAATCATGGTTCGACATTCTTTGGTTGTATTTCGTTTCTAAATTCTTTATGCCCGTCACATTTTTGGCCTTTTATGAATTATGACAGCTAGGAGACCGAATCCAGTTTCCTACTTTTTACATTGGTGTAACAAAAAGAAGAAAATGTTCCATTGGGCAGGATAAAGTGGGGTGGATGACCTCCTTAGCATTCCATGAGGTTCTCGGGTAAGAGAATAAATTTATTCATATTTCGTAATATCGTCCATCCTATACGTGATGACGAATAACATAAATTGCAACTTATATGTCAACTTACAAACATTTCAAAATGTGACCTTTTTTTGGAAATGGGTGATCCTTGGCTTCGCCCAGATGAATCACATGGCAAGTCGCGACTGTAGGCTTCACTTACAACCCTTAGGGGATGTTTGGTTGGTTTTCCATTAGTCTTGTATGGATAAAGTTGTCTGTGTGGATTAATCTATCTGTATAGATTGAGAAGATTTTTGTTTTGGAGGATTTTTTCATAGATAAAAGGATTGTCTTTAATTGGGAGAGACAGTTTTGGGAAAAAACTCGCTCTCTGCATAAAGCTCCCTCCCTTGAAGCTTACTGAATAAGCCACTTTTTATATCATTAAGCCACTACCAAATAGTCATGTATAACTGACCGAATAAGTTGCGAATCTCATTAAACTCATTAAGCTACTAATAAACAGGTCCTTAGACAGATCTCCAAGTGGCCACAAGCGCCTATGCAGATAGCAGGATTCTAACCCGGGTTGATTTTTATCATCCCTTTGTCTTTATTCACCATGTTACCACCCTTGTGGTTTAGAATATGACCTTTTTGGTCATGATTTATTACTCATTTTATGCATATATTATTGAGCTATAAGAATGTCGTCTAACTCTTCTTTTTTTTTTACCGGCAAGGGGTCTTCTTATCGTTATAAAATAAACCATGTACCTTTGCTTGAATAATTTTACTTGCTTTTGGTAGTGGGACAGTACACGACAAAAACGTGTTGTCCCACATTTGGTGTAACATTAGACTTGGGACATGACAAAACCTTGGTGGGACAAAAATGCATTTTCTTTGTCCCACCAAAATAGGTGGAACATAAATTACGGAGATGGAACAAGATTGGTAAATTAGTAAACTACCCATGTCAAATTAGAATCTTCTAGAATCCCTTCATCCGCCTACCTCACTCTTCCCCATATAGGCCCATCCGTATACCAAACGTTCTACTTGTTTGTTTTCAATATACTTTCTCGCTAGTTTTTCTTATTTTTCTCGCTCTATACTCACCATGTCTAGTCGTTGTCCCTTTTACTTGTTTGCTCACACTCTTGCAAGAGCCGGGGTTCTTCACTAGAACAACTTCTCTACTCTTCAGGGTAGAAGTCACGCGTGTATAGGGGTGTAAACGAGCCGAGTTGAGAAGTAAGTAATTCGAGCTCGGCTCGAAGAAATTACACTGAGCTCGAATAACTTTTTCAAATTATGGCTCGAGCTTGAATGTTTTTTGGATTATCGAACTTGAGTTCGATGATTGTTTATGGGCTTGAACTTATGATTGATTATTTTGTTTATTGACTCGAGCTCAATAATTTTTATATTTTTATTGTATGATTTATTAATATATGAGAATGTGTGGCTTGAAAAAGTGTATGCTCGAACAGTTTGGCTCAAAAAATTTGATCGTGTTTTTGAGCGAGCCAAGTCGAAGATTGGTGTTACCAGGCGAGGCTGATTAAGTTAAACGAGTTCTATTTTGCGTTCGAGATCGACTCGAGCTCAATAATTATTAAGCTCGAGCTCGACATAAATGTGCTCGAGCTCGAGTAGCTCGCTAAAAGCTTGACTCATTTACAACCCTAGGCGTGCACACCCCCTGGCACCCGGGGGACCCTACTTTCAAGTGGTATATACCGAGTCGGCCTCGTTTACTTAGTTATCTTCTGAAACATAAGAAGTTGGTTATTGTTACCTTCTTTCTGCAGGGATAACCAGGAGTATCTTTTTGTTGGTGATGTTGGCATCAAAACAGGCGATTCCTTTCGCTTTTACCACTCAGATTCCAGCATCGCTCTATCTTCAAACGCCACCGTTTCTGAACGTTTGAGATGTTTAAAGCAAGGGAGCACGACCGGAGGTGATACAAGGGAAGTGTTTGGGGGGCTCGTTTTCACTTGTTGTGGTCGGGGTGAGTCGTTCTTCGGCCAACCAAATGTTGACAGCTCGCCATTTTTGGACGTCTTCCCTGGTGTGACGTTTGCAGGGACATTCTGTGGCGGGGAAATCGGACGTGGTGATGTAAACCCTTATATTAAAGAATCTCAAGAGCAAAAGTCGGTATGGTGTTGCCTGCACGTATACAGCGCTGTCTACTTAGTCATGTCTTACACTTCATCGAAAGGGAGTTAAGATGTTCACGTGTTGGATTTTGGTCAGAAACAAGGTAATGCCTTCTTTTATGCTCTCTTTCTTCGCTTAGATGCTTATTTTTGTTAGCAGCTTGTTATATTTGCATATATATATATATATATATATA